TTGGGCCAGGAGTACTTCTAGCAACAACCGATTGAAGGCGTCGCGTACCTCGGCCGCGCTGAAGCCCCGCAGCGCAGAGCCAGCCAGCCTGGAGCCTGCTCGAGGGCGGCCCGCAGCGGCCGCCGCTTCCTCTGGCCCAGCGCCGTGCTCTCGTCGGCGATGCCCGTCGTGCCTGGCCCCCCGTCCCCGCCCGCGTTGAGCACCGAGCCCCGCTCGCAGCAGTCCTCGCCCGCGAGCGGGTTCGGCGGCGCGAGCAAGTCGCCGGGGGGCCTGGCTGCCTCCGACGGGCGGAGGCGCCCCGCGAATGTGAGGGGCGCGAGCGTGGCGAAAGGCCGCCGGCCGAACGAGATCAGCGCGCCGACGACCGCCGTCGCCGCAGCTCGAGGGATCGGCGGGCGCATGCTCGGGCGCTTCAGCTCGTTCCACCCCCCAGAACCTTGCGCGACCTCGGGGGGGGGCCCGAGGCAGCCCCGGCGCGGTCTCCCCGTAGCCGCCGTCTACGGGCAGATAGGCCAGGAAGGCCGCCGGGATCGCGTCGGCCGACGTCGGCCGAGGCCCGCGTTGGCCACGTCCGCGAGCACCGGGTCACCAGCCTCAGGATGTGCGCGACGTAGTGCGTTGCCGTGGCGTCGGTGAGCGCCGAGACCGCCGCGAAGCTCAGGCAACCGCTCGCCAGCTCGGAGACCGCCGCCTGCGGGGCAAGCCTCGGCTGGGCCAGTGTCATGGCTCGTGCTGGGGGCCCTCGACGGCCGCGGCAGCTGCCGGTCTTCGCGATTTCCACCAGGGGCGCGCCAGGGCGGGCCTGCGAAGGGCGCCGACCTCGACGGGGCATCTGACGGTTTGAGCTCCGACAACGCCCGGCGCGTGTCGGCCCTGCGGCCAGTGGCGAAGGGTGACGGCGCAATCGGCCTCGAGCGCCCTGGAAGGTTGGCCGCGCGCCCGCGGCCCTTGCCAGCGCCGCGGGCTTGCGCCAGATCGTCGACGAGGGGGGGGGGGCTGGCGGCCCTGCAGACCCCCGTGTCCCGCGCGCCCCCCATAGGACTGAAGGGTGTTCTCCTTCGAACCTGACTAGAGTGGGCCGCGCGCACCCCCTTCGAAATTCCAGCGAATCCAAGGGGCCCGTCCCGAGAGAGAGGGGGCGCTCGAAGTCGTCGACCTCGCTGGGGCCCAGGGAATCTCGGAAGTCTTCGCGACCCGCAGGTCGCTGATGAGATCCAGACTCCCCCGGATGGGCGTGCTTCCCAGCGGCGATGGTGTCGTCGAACCCGCGCCTCGCCATCTTCGCCGCGTTGCCGACATCTGCCGCGAGATTTGGGAGAAGTTTGCGACGATGAGCTCCGATGCCGTGGCCCGCAGAGCCGGATGCCGCGACGTCTGGTGCCCGAGACAACCGCCAGGACGTAGCCCACAGGGGCCAAGTAAACTGGGCCCACTGGGTCTCCTTCGAGACCCCCGGAGCTCCACGTGAGATGCTGACCTAGACCTGGGGGCCGGGGGCAGTGGAGAGGGCGCGAGGCGTTGTCTGTCCATGGCGCAGCATGGAACGGATTCCCAAGCGAAGCCGAGTCCTGCGAGCACGCGGCGGCCTCGCGGTCACGCCCCAATCTCGTCGAACTCCCATCCCGCGCGGGTCGCGGCGGGCCCCGCCTCTCGCGCCTCGCGCGCAGGGGGGCGATGGCGAGAGACAGATGGTGATGTCGACACTGGCGCGGGGTCGGCCGGCGGACGCGCCCCGCCATCGACGAAGCGATCTGAGGACGCGCCAGCGCCCCGCATGATGTTGTCGGCCAAAGATTTTCGACATGTGTGAAGGCCACGATCCCATGTCATTGGCATCGCCAGAATCTCAGGCACAAGGCAGCTGGCTCTACGCATGGAAGGCTGGCAACTCGAGTGTCGGGCGCCATCCCCAGGCCGACGTCCTCCTTGGGCTCGGAGAGCGCCCCCGCCGAAGGCTGCTCTCGGTCTGGGCGGGGGCGGGGCCTTGGCGCCCCGGCAGCGGCGAGACGACGAGTGGCGTCGGCGTGGCGGTCGGGACAGCTCAACGCCCAAGAAGGTCTGCGCATGTCTTGGTCATGCTTGCCTCCTTGCGTCTGGCTTTGCCGCGGGTTCGGAGGGGGGCGCGCTCGTCCTCCATGGCCCCGGTCGAGAAAGGGCGGCCGCGCGGCAGAGATCACTCGGCGGGGTCGGTCTCGCGCCGGCAGGGGGCCAGGGCGCGGAGTCCTCGACGCAACGTTCGATCGAGGACCCATCATCGCAATGCCCCGGCGCGTGTCGGAGTAATTTTTAGACGGCGGCGTCCGAGGCGGCGTTGCTGACGCGTGGGTCGGCGGGCCACGAAAATAATGCGCATGAAACAGCGATGTGCATCGGCGCCCGCTGCTGAAGCAACGCGGCTGCGCCGTCGGGTGGGCGCGCAGAGCTGACGGGGCCGCGCAGCCTGTTCAGCTCGCCGCGGCTATCGATGCACTCGTCGGCTCAGCTTCGCCAGGCAAAACCTTTGAAGCGCTGTTGCTGAGCTCGTGGGGGGAGCGGCGAAGCCGTCCACGATGCTCGACTGCGAGCTGCAGGAGAAGAAACAAGTTGCGCCGGCGATCATCCTGATGTGCAGCCAGCGCAAAACTGCGCGCCATTCCAAGCCCAGGTGCGCCCAGCGGCCAACAGGCATGGGGCGTGCCACTGGGAGAGGGGGCGCGAGGGCTATGAGCGCGACGCCCGCTCCGCGTGGTCTTCCTGGGTCCTTTGGCCACCGCGGACTCGGCCTTCAACTTATCTGCAACCCACTGCCTGAGCAGAGGGCGCACGCGCGTGCGCTGCCGCGGCTCTCCTGGGAGTCGAAGAACAGGTTGCTCTCGACTCGGCCGCCCAGGGGACGATGCTCATCCTTGCCCGTCTTGTCGCCGCCCTTCGGCTTGAAGGCTTGCTCAACAACGTCCTCGTCCAGGAGCTCGAGACGACTGGCCATCATCTCAAGGTGCGCTGACTCGCCATTGTTGGCCTGATCGTGGCACGCCGCGAGCTCCAAGATGCGACGCAGAAGGGTCTGCTCCCGGGTGATGCGCTCATCCTCGGACATCCCCCGCTCGGCCGTCCGCTCCGTGTGCCATCCTGACGGCGGCGCAGCGTGGCGATGGATGCGAGCGCACACCCAGGCCTCCGTCCTGGGGCTGCGCACGGGCCAGTCCCTCCAGTTCGGGGAGGAATGGGATATCGTACCCTCGCGGAACGCCCTCCACCTGTCGCCGCGGATGTCGATGGCCACCTGGTTCACGTGCAGGTCGGACGTCGCTGCTGCCGCAGCCGCTGCAGGCGTCGCTGGCGAAGCGGGGGCAGCGGGCAGCACAGCGACAGCCACGGGAACCGCAGCCGCACCAGCCGCTGCGGCCCCGCCGGCGGGCGCACCCGCCACCAAGCCTGGCGCAGCGCCCGCCGTGGGGCCAGCCGCAGGCGGTGCCAGCAGCGCGAGAGCCCCTGCCGCGGCCGCTGCAGGCGCGCCCGCGCCCGCCAGGGCTGCGAACAGGCCAGGCATGCCCACGCCAGCGCCTCCATTACCATCAGGAGGGGGGGCGAGGCCGCGGCGGCTGCAGGCGGCGCTGGGTCGGCCAGGAGCTGAACGCCCACCGCCAGACCGCCACCGCTGCCAGCCGCCAGCGGCATGGACGGTGGCGACAGGGGGCGGGGGACTCCGTGCACCAAGGTCGCCCCCGCGAAGGCGTCCCGCACCTCCACCCACTTCGGTTGGCAAAGACCTGAAGCCGTACACTCGCAAACCTGCAGGTCGTTCGCGTTGGCCTGGCGATATGATCGCTGCCGCGACGTCAGGATCGGACGTCGTGCTTTCCTCGTAAAAGTCGCTGTCGGGAGTCTTGGCGTAGCGCCCATCGAAGGAGGACACATCTCTCATGCTATACCTGGGCCAGTGGGACCTGATAGCGCACGCGCTGGGAAAACAACTGGTGCGCCATGACTACTGCGACTGGGCTACGCGCCTAGTTCTGATCGCCAGAGCCTGGGCACGGGCGGACTCGTCCAAGCGGCGATCGACCGGATCCCTCTGCAAGCTGGGGGCTGCCGCCGCACCGACGGTGAACCCGACGATCAGCGCTGCCAGGGAGTAGTCCGTGACGAAGCCCACGCAGGATGGCTCCGCCAGCTGATCTCCCACCCCCGAGAGACCCACGACGGAATGGCGGGGCAGGTCATCCGCGGAACGCCGGCGCCGCAGCTGGCAGCGGCCACCTGCTCGACCACCGAGGCACCCACCGCCGAGGCACCGTATCCCAGAATATCTGTTCAAGGTTGTGCGATCTCCTGCGTAGGAACTGCACACTTCAAGACTTGAGCCGCAGTGACTGTGGCACTCACCATTGCAGCGGTCAAAACACTCAGCAATCAGTTTTCTGATGATGATGATGACGACGATGATGATGCTGATGCTGATGCTGATGCTGATGCTGCTGCTGATGATGATGATGATGATGGTTGTGGTGGTGGTGATGATGATGATGATGATGATGATGATGATGATGATGATGATGATGATGATGACGAGGGGGGGAGGAGGAGGAGGAGGAGGCGGAGGAGGAGGAGGAGGAGGAGGAGGAGGAGGAGGGGGAGGAGGAGGAGGACGAGGAGGCAGGAGGAGGAGGAGGAGGAGGAGGAGGAGGAGGAGGAGGAGGAGGAGGAGGAGGAGGAGGAGGAGGAGGAGGGAGGATGAGGAGACAGGTGACATGGGTAGGAGGAGGCATCGGGAGGAGGCAGGAAGAGGAGCAGGCGGGAGGCAGGAAGAAACGGATGAGGCAGAAGGACAAGGAGGAGGTAGGATGAGGGTGCATGATGATATCCCCAGGCGAGCTAAACATTTTCTCATGTGGGGTCCTATCGTCAGAACAATTGATCTTTGTTGAGCGCTAATTTGGAGAGGAGGGAGGGCGAGGAAGCGGGAGCCCACGCATGACCGCATATGCAACTCGATTCAAACCGTCTGCAAAAAAAGTGGCCTCGGCCAGCGTCCGCTTGCTGCGCATGCGCTGGTAGAGGTCCTCCGAGCAGAGCTCCAGCACCATGAAGATGCCCCCGAACCCGTCCTCGAAGCTTTCGTGGCAGCGGAGTACGTGCGGGTGCTCGAGACCCATGTGCACCTCGATCTCCTGGCGGGATGGGCCAATAACTACTGAATCGGAAAACCGTATCGAATCGGAACGTGCGTCGACTCGGGCTGCATCGGCGCTTTCGCCAAGTTTCGGGCCCCGGGGCGCTAACAGATCGTTCCAGCTCGAAAACTTGGCCAGCAAGAGACCCAGACCCCCGACGCCATGATCTTTTCCTGCGTCGGCCCACAAAAGTCTGGACCCCTTCCCCAGGACCGGCTTCTCGTCCGGAGTCGTCTTTGACGGTCCCGAAGACCAGTGAGGGCCTCCAGAGGCAGAACATAGCGAAAAACCTCCCGTCGTGATTTTGTCATGACTCGATGGGGTCTGGGAAAGGTCGGGGCATCTGGTCGTGACCATCCACGATGTTGTTTTTCTCGCTGCGTCGGATCTCAGGGGCTGGCACGGCGCCGAGATCGCATAGGATCGGCTGCACCAGGCTGCGCGACAGCGCCATGACAGCATCGGGCCGCACTGGAGCACTGGATCGCTGGAACATCGAGATCGGCTCAGATCGAGAGATCTTCTAACCCGGGTCAGCCAGAGGGGGTCTTCGCAGAATCCTGCAGGATCTGGCGCCCTGGCTGATCCCCGTCTGCATTGACCCCCGTCTCGAGGCTCCCGACTTCGGACACTTCCCAGAAGACCGGGGGACTTCCGAGCCTTCTGAGAAGGCCGTCTCCGTCACCCCTTCTCTTCCACGGGAACAGCTCCATCAGCACGGTGCTGTCTCGCGCGCGAGCCGTTCGCGTCAAGAGCAGAGCGAGACGAGATGGCGACGCAGAGCCGCAGCCCCCGAGCTCACCGCCGAAAGGGTTGCCCAAGGCCGCGGCCCGACGTCGACGAGGAGGACAACGACGACGTTGCCCTTTTCACTGCAATGCCTTCTGCAGTCGTCGTCGTCGTCGTCGCCGCCGCCGCCGTCGTCGTCGTCTTCGTCGTCGTAGTCGTTGTCGTCGTCGTCGTCGTCGTCGTCGTCGTCGTCGTCGTCGTCTACAGGGCTGGCGAGCGCCTCGTCGTCTACAGGGCTGTCCGACGACTCTCGCACCTTCCTGGCCTCGAAGTCAGGCCGAGAAGGTGTGCCCGAGCTTGGGCCCGTCTCCGCTATCCAGCGGATGGGGGGTCGACCTCATCCGAGGCATTGCGCTATTCGGGTTCTCCTCCCGCGCTCAGGCCGAAGGGTTTGGGCAGCGGGTCATGGTCAAAGAGGCCCCCAAGAAGCCCCCAAAGGCCACCGAGAGGCCCGAGGACGCCCCCAAGAGGCCGTCAAGAGGCCCCCAGGAAACTCCCAGGAGCCCCAAGAGTGCCCCAAGAGTGCCCCAAGAGGCCTACTCCTTTTACTCCTCCTTTTCTTTTCACGAGCGGCTGTGGGAAGACATAGTCCGATATATTGGCCAAGCGGGGGCCCAACGTTTGGCCACAGAGGCGCTTCCCCAAACGCAAGGGGCTGGCGGTGATTCGCGCCAGGTGTCTACGAAAGAAAAGGCTTCCGATGGTGTGTTGCTTGGCATGTCGACGGAGGCGATTCGAGTTGTAAACCACCAAGGCCTAAGACCTTGATGCGAATCTGCTAAAACCAATACTGGAGCATTCCCTAGGGATGCAAGGCCAAAGACCCTGCGAAAGGGACGCCTCGGACTGTACAGTGCACCGCGTGCGCTGCGGTCAGGACCGGTTTGACCAAATTGAACGATAAGCTGCATGCCACTATGCACGGTGTGAACTTGTGGCCGTGCTCCATACCTTGCGCTCTGGCCACAAGAAATAAATTCACCATACAATCCAGAATGCAGTGGCCAGATTTCGCAAAGCAGACCGACCAAAGCATACCTACCAAAGCAGAAGGCAGTAGCCTGGTGTCATGGCAGGCCTTGGGGGGGCAGCCAGTCATGGAAGGGCAAATCCGAATCTGTTGACAGTGCGTACTCCACCAGAACCATCGGCGAAAAGTCGGGCGCGTTAGTTCCATCGGCTGTTTCTGTTCGAGGGTCTATGGAGTTTCGTGCCTCTTCAACTATAATGGGCTCTGCTGGCGAGGCACGAGGTCGCCTGCTACGTGACAATGCTTGCAGCGCGTCCTGAATTACGCGTTTGTCTGAGATCAGACAAAGAGTGTGGTAGTCTGGCAGCTCATAGCTTGTCTCGGAGAGTTAGTTCTTCGAGCTGCCGCGTTGCGCATGGAACAAAGAACTTGGCACAGCAAGGCTCCGCTCGCACGATTGAACAACCTGCATCAAGCGCTCGGTTTCTGAAGCTCTCCAGAGCAGGCTGGGTCAAGATAATCTCCTGGACTTCAGGTATGCGCGCCCTGCGCATGCGCCTCAGAAGCGCCGCGCCGTCTTCGCTCGGTGGAATCGCCAGCCCAACCTTGCTCTTCTGAGTTGCCTCCGCCAAATCAGCAACAGAAGGCTGCTGCTCTTGGCCGTCCTTGGAGCTGCTCGCATCGTCTGGAACAGAAGCCCTGGCCTCCTGGGAGACTGAACCCCCGTCTCCCGCGTGTTCGACGGCGAATGCCTGCGGTTCGGGCTGGTGGGGTCCGGCCAATTCACTGCGCGGCACCTTTTCTGTGTGAAACCCGTCGCCATGGCGGCTGTTAGTACTGAGAGAGCCTGGCTTCACCGAGAGAAGCAAGTGTGCCATATTCCAGGGACCAACGTAGCGGACACTGTGCGTCCAAACGTCTCCTGGGAAGTGACCCGCTGCGGCGTGCACGGCCTGGTGCAGCGACCTCGGGGCGGCGCAGTCCCTGTAGTCTTGCAGAGACAAGAAGCGAGGAGACAAGGGCAACGTGAATTCTGAAGGAAGGCCGCGTCTGTCAAGCGCGAGCAAATCAGAAACGCCAGCGCGGTTCGTGCACGCGATGCTTAGAGTGAGGTTCCGAGCTTTCATCTTCGAAGAAGAAAAAAGGGCGACCAGTAGCAACGGTTGCAATATACATCCCACCACATGTTGAGCTGGCGAACCTCCCAGACAATATACTGCTTTGCACGTGGTTGGACCCGGCGCGATCCAGGTCCCTGTCACTGTGTATGATCAAATTGGGGATGATCTTCTTGAATGATATCCGCATCCTTGGAATACCGAGTGCCAACTTGTGCCACAACATGCATATTGTACCTACGACTGCGAGTGCTTCAAAATGTTTGCGCGACGCAGGTTTCCGCAACCTGTGCACGGCTTGCGCCGGGCACTCAAGACCAACCCCGGCTTTTGCCATTTCTTTGGCCGCTCGGCACGCTGCCTTTCGAACGCGAAGAGACTCGCTTGTGTCCGAAACAGTTCGGCAAGCTTCCTCTGGCAACCGCGTGGTGATTGCGCTGCTGTGTGCCAAAATTCCAACTGCCGACCATGCTGACTCCACGAACATTTGGGGGAATAATATACCACGCCGCATCAAACATGCCCCCGTGCGTGATCCCTGCGGTCGCCAGGTGCGCAATAGCTTCGCATGCGCATGCCCACACAGCTCGTCCTGATTCAAACAACGATTTATTTCTGCTGGCGGTCAGAGTGTTTGCGTAATCGGCTTCGATGAGTTCGACTAGGGCTGGCACCGCGTCCTTCCATGCTACGCCTGACTTTGCCGACTCTTGGACAACCCTGAGGCCCAACCCGCTGCTCCTGCGAACAAGATCAATTATCGCGTGATCCCTCTTCCAGAAAGTGTCTTTGCCAACCAGACAACTGTCTGCGCAAGTTCGTCGAAATAACACCAGTGACACCAATCTTCTCGTATGGCCCCAACCAAATCTCCGCCACCGTGCCGTAGGCACCGAGTGGAGCGTCTTCTGCTTCGTCATAACCTCAAGTCTTGAATGCGTGAGATCTAATCCTCAAGACTGGATGCTTCAAAACCCCAAACCCAAAATTTGCTGGGATCCCTGGGTGATCCTGGAAAGCTTCTGGAATTCACCGCGTGACCTATCCCTGAAGCGTTCTTGTGGACCCAAGGCTCCAACGTGCCGCAAGACGGTCACAAGCGCATGTGCTAGAGCTGCCTTCGGGGTCTTTTGGGCCGTCGTTGAGGCCATGGGGGCTAGCCCACAACTTCCACGATTGCGCGTCACGTGCATGTTTTCGCATGTTCGATCTGAAGAGCATCCAAGACAGCCGAAGGGGCCCCCAAGATTGGCCCGACGGCTCCCAAAACGGCCGAAATGGGGGCCAAAGAAGCGCGCCGCCGCCAGACCGCTGGACGCCTTTTCTAGAGGCCCTGGGAGGCGTCAAAGAGGCTTCCAAGATGCTTCCAAAGGGCGCCTAAGATGCCCAAGCTGAGCCTCCAGGAATCCGAAACGGCCCACGTCCTAAGAAACCGCGGTGTTCCCGACCATCGTTCCACCGCGCCTCCCGCCCAACAGCCCAGACACGGTGGCGGCATAGGCCGAAGGCCGCCCGATGAAGCAATCGCATCTCCCGCTATGCTGGCCAAGGCAAGTTGATGGATAGCCTGAATACGAATACCCATTTCACGACACTGCAACATGACAGACGCTATACGCTTATCAGGGACCGCGCCTGCTTTCACAGGGCTGATCAAGGCCAGACATGCGTGCTCCTTCAGGTCCTCATCTGCATCTGCGCGTCTTCCCGAAACCAATACAGCCTCTGCTACGTCATTCGTCGGCATTATCACTCCGATCTCCAGACGGCGCCGGATCTTCTCAGCATCCTTCCCAGACCATTGATGCTTGCATTCGCATGCTGCTGCAACTGCCTTACAAAAGAAGACTTGCATGTAATGATCGCCACACGATACACATCTTTGCAGCGTGGAAATGGAAGCCTCGGTGCTTTTCCCATCCATGGCCGCCTCCGCCAAACGTTCACACCTTAGCCTACGAAGTCCCACACCATCGCTCTCTGACGTGTTGTTACCAAGTTAGATCATGCCATCTGGCACCACTCGTAAGCGGGCCACGACCACAGCTGCTTTCAAAGCAAACTTGTGCTGGCGCTCACTACCTTAGATGGAAGCGAACTGGAAAATCCGCCACCGTGTCCCCAGGCACGTTGAAACGTGAAAGAATGCCAAATGCTGCCTGGCAGGGTTTCTGGTAATCTTCTGGGGACCACCCCCCTCTGGACACACTGGGTTGCAAACGTGGTCCCCCGATGGAAGTGGGCGTTTCGCTTAAGACATCCTCACATACCCGCGAAGTTGGAGGTTTTATCTTAAAATGTATTCTACTGAAGATTGGCGTTTCGCCTGAGATGCCCTCGGGAAACAAAGGTGTTCAAATCGACAGCCAAACTCCCGAAACTTTGCAAATTGCAAGGTCACCAAACGACAATTTGGAAACTTTATCTGAATACGTCGTGTGCTAAACATTCGCGTTTCGCCTGGGACATCCTCGGGAACCGAAGATGCTGAACTTGACAGCTAAACCTTCTGATCTTTACACATTGCAATTTCGCCGGAGACATCCTCGAAACAATGGGATGTGCAAAAGGCCGAATTCACACATCATGTAAAGCGGATCTCGGATGGATTCCCAGATGGCCGAAGAACGCTAAACCATTGAAACAAACAGTAGTTGTTCAAAAACATTTGTTTGAACACAGGCGCTTCGCTTGAGACATCCCCTCCATTATAGCTTTCGGCGCTAGCGAAATGAAGATGGAAAGTGTCACATGTGACGGTTCTTCTTTGCCTCTCCCTCCTCCTCCTCCTCCTCCTCGTCCTCATCATCATCAACAGCATCAACATCAACACCCTCTTCAGCATCAGCATCCGCTTCATCATCATCATCGAAGTTGTCTTTTCCGAGACAGTCTAGGCGTCACGTATGACGGCACCGCCACCTCTCGCGGGAGAACAACGCAAGCGAGGACATGACCAGGCAAATCGTCTCCGGAAGCTTCCGTCGGTTAGTAAAGGAAGTGTCCAAACATAACGTCTCTGGACACTTCCGAATTTTCGTAGAAGTCCGTCGGCACCAACCCTCATTGAAGAGGGGTCGTATGTGACGCTTCAGGCGTCACATGGGGCACCTCTGCCGTCGTCATCATAACATCATCACCATCACCATCATCCACATTACCACCGTCGAGCCTGGAGATACAGTGCGTCACCGGGCAGAACATCCGTGCCCCCTCGCGCAAAAACGCTCGAGACAACTGGACAGGCACGGTGGCGGGACTTGCCGCAGACAGCTGGATCCGCCGCCCCCTGCTTGCAGGGGTGCACGGCGTGCTGGACGTTTCAGGTTTTGGTTTTGGTTCTTTTTCCACAAGAATCGAAGACGCCTACGGCGAATCACCGCCGCCCCCTGCCTTTTTGGAAGCGCCTATGTGGCCGAACGTTGAGGCCAGACCTGCCAAGCTATCGGACCACGTGTTCCCCGAATCGGTTTGGAAAGCCTTCGGGGAACACGTGGGCATCTTGAAGGTCATCTTGGCCGTCTTGGAGGCCTCTTGGGCAAGCTTTGGGCGATCTTGGGGCTCTTGGGCCCTTTTGGGCCAGCTTCGAGCCAACTTCGGCCATCTTGGTGGGTTCCTGGCACGTCTGACGCCGTCGGGAGCCGTTTTGGGGGCCTTTCTGGGCCAACGGGGGACCCTCTTGGGGCGCTCCAGGGCCGTCTTGGAGGCCATCTTGGGCGTCTGGGAGGCCATCTTGGGCGTGTTGGAGGCCTCTTGGGCCCTCTTGGGGCCCTCTAGGGGCCATCTTGGAGGCCACTTGGGCCATCATGGGGCTCTCTTGGGGGCCTCTTGGGCGATCTTGAGGGCTTCTTGGGCCGTCTCGAGCCGTCGGAGAGCCGAAAAGGCGCAAATGCCAGAATCCTTCAAAAACCAATGACAAAATCAATGATTTTGGCCTCTTCGGACTCTCCTGGAGGACCTCTTGGAGGCCTCTTGGGCCGTCTGGGAGGCCTCTGGGGGGCCTCTTGGGCCGTCTTGGGCCGTCTTGGACTCTCTTGGGCCGTCTTGGAGGCCGTCTTGGACCATCTCGGGCGGACTTGGAGGCCATCTTGGGCCATCTTCGCGATTTTTTGAGGATGTCCCGAGCGAAACGGCCGTTTCTTGGAGGATTTTTTGCGGTCGTTGAGCACGTTTGGGGAAATTCCGGGTGGCCGGCGGGTTCTGCCGGAGCCCACTGGGAAGTCCGCCGCCCCCTGCTTGCAGGGGTGCACGGCGTGCTGGATGAGCTGTTAGGTTTTGGTTTTGGTTCTTTTTCCAAAAGAACTCCCCAGTGGGCTCCGGCAGAACCCGCCGGCCACCCGGAAAATCCCCAAACGTGCTCAACGACCGGAAAAAATCCTCCAAAAAACGGCCGTTTCGCTCGGGACATCCTCAAAAAATCGCGAAGATGGCCCAAGATGGCCTCCAAGTCCGCCCGAGATGGTCCAAGACGGCCTCCAAAACGGCCCAAGAGAGTCCAAGACGGCCCAAGACGGCCCAAGAGGCCCCCCAGAGGCCTCCCAGACGGCCCAAGAGGCCTCCAAGAGGTCCTCCAGGAGAGTCCGAAGAGGCCAAAATCATTGATTTTGTCCTTGGTTTTTGAAGGATTCTGGCATTTGCGCCTTTTCGGCTCTCCGACGGCTCGAGACGGCCCAAGAAGCCCCCAAGATCGCCCAAGAGGCCCCCAAGAGAGCCCCATGATGGCCCAAGTGGCCTCCAAGATGGCCCCTAGAGGGCCCCAAGAGGGCCCAAGAGGCCTCCAACACGCCCAAGATGGCCTCCAAGACGCCCAAGATGGCCTCCAAGACGGCCCTGGAGCGCCCCAAGAGGGTCCCCCGTTGGCCCAGAAAGGCCCCCAAAACGGCTCCCGACGGCGTCAGACGTGCCAGGAACCCACCAAGATGGCCGAAGTTGGCTCGAAGCTGGCCCAAAAGGGCCCAAGAGGCCCCCAAGAGGGCCTCCAGGAAGGCCAAAAGATGCCAAAATCACTGATTTTCCCAAGGTTTTTGATGGATTTGGGCATTTCCCTTTTTTCGGCCTTCCGACGGCCCGAGACGGCCCAAGAGCCCCCAAAGATCGCCGAAAGATCGCCCAAGAGGCCTCCAAGACGGCGACGATGACCATCAAGACGCCCACGTGTTCCCCGAAGGCTTTCCAAACCGATTCGGGGAACACATGGTCCGATGGCTTGGCAGGTCTGGCCTCAACGTTCGGCCACATAGGCGCTTCCACAAAGGCAGGGGGCGGCGGTGATTCGCCGTAGGCGTCTTCGATATGATCTGCACTCTTCCACATTGGGAATTGTTCAGCGAAGCGGCCAATGGCTGAGCAAGCCATCTGTTCTCGCTCGCTCGCCATTTCACTCGCATTGGAAGCAGGCCGTCCAAGGAATAATGGCTGCTGGCCCATTTGAATAATCCGAACAGCTGGTCAGCAAGAGCTTCACCAGGCGTCCCTAATCGACTTGTTGAGGGGCATGCCAATAATGCCTGCCACTTTGCCTGGCGCTCTTCATGCTTTGCCCCTGTGGCCATCTATTCAAGAGGGCGCACTGCCCCAGACAGGCCTCGATCAAAGGTAGCTCTTGAGCCAGAAGCAGATTACCATGAGGGCCGGGCCTACAGGGACCGTCTGGAGGTCCGCTGAAATCGCCACAAAGGACTCTGGGATCGTTCCCTGACCGTATTGGCACCGATCCGCGCAGGTCGATAAGGAGCCCGCCTGGAGCAAACGGGCGCACTGCAGAAACTTTCGGGGGCTTCTTGGACCTGTCTAGTTACGTAAAAAGAAATGGAGCCCATCCTGTCAGGGATCTGCCAACCCGGGCGAATCCAGACCCAGGTCAGTCAGTCGCCTGGCAGGATCCTGCGGCCAAGTCCAGGTCAATGCGACCCTGGCCCTGCAAGATCCTGCAAGATCCTGAAGGACCCTGCGCCCACGCCCGGGTCAATGCGACCTTGGCTCTGCAGGATCCTGCAAGATCCTGCAGGACCCTGCGCCCACGCCCAGGTCCATGCGTGGACAGACCCCCCTTTAGTAAAACGCGGTTTAGTGAAAACGACCTGAGGCCCAAACCTGGCGGGCGCAAGCCTGGAAAATAACGGCCACGGCGCCATCTCGAGAACCGAAAACGGACAATTCACTAATCGACGTGTCACTGTTGGGGGTTCTGTCCACCCCCGAGTCTCGAGGCTCCCGATCCTGGTGCATCTGCTGCCGGCCGGCGGGGCCGTCGCCCAGCGTGGGCCGCCGGACCTCCTTCAGGGCCACCTCGCGGCCCGACGCCCCGTCGATCGCCCGGTGCACCTCCGGGGGGGAAGAAGGCCACCCCGACTCGTGAGCGTTTTCTTACTCTAGGGGGAAAGCAAACCTACCTCGCTTTTGACCACCCTCGCTTCCAAGAGATACCAAGCGATGCCAAACCACGGCCTGTACTGGTCAGGCCGCTTGACGAGGAGGCGCGTGGTATGACTTGGTTTTGCGTGGAAGCGAAAGCGGGTTAGGTCATTCACGCTCTGATAGTCGGCGCGTCGACATGGAGCGAAGAGGGGGGCAGGGGGCGGGGGTCTGGCTCTGGACCTCTGCTCAGTGCGACTGGTTGCAGCCGTGTGTACCATGGGGGGGAGGCTCCGCCTGCTCGAAACAGGCGCCAAACACAGCCAAGATCTACTCCATGGGGGGGCGTGAAGGGAGGGTGCGAGGGCCCGCGCCGATCGGCAAAAAATGAATCAGAAAACGATCACCGTGTGGACTGAAAGCGCCCCCTCCTACAGTAGGGGCTCGACCACAAGAAGCCTTCCACAAGAAATCCAACCCTGAGACCCCAGGGTGTCCATGGATTTTTGGTGTGGGAACGTCACGCTTTCCATCGCAGAACCATCGAAACCCAAGAAACCCAGGGCACCCTGGAGACAAGCAGGGTGTTTCTTGATATAAATAGGTCTCCACTGTATGCTACAGTCAACCCGTATCATAAGGATTCGCGGTGAGGATGCAGGGGCCTTGGAGGCCCAAGGAACGAGGTTGGCTAGCGAAACGTAGCTCATCCTTACCTTGCGGGCTGACTGCACCCCGCCCGAAAGCCCGCTCTGGCGCCCACGCCCACCGAACCCACCACGTCAAGCTGTCCAACCCTGCCCACGCCCCGCAACGGGCAGCCCACTCCGACACCCCTAAGGGATCCCCCCCCAACACTTAACTACTCGACAACTCGAAGTACACAAACGCAAACTTCTGGAGCTCCGCGCGGACTTCTGGGATAGGCGCTGGACTCACCTCCGCGGCACACGGGGCGCGCTGGGGGCGGAGCTGGAGACGCCGCCCAAGGGGGTGCAGCGCCGACCCAAGCAAGACGCGCAGACCCCCTAAAGCTTATGCGTGCTGCTTGTGCCGTGTTGGGGGACTCTGCTATGGGGTCCGAGGAGATAGGGTCGGAGGACCGCGCCGCATCGCCGATGCATCGGCGATGTATCCGCGACGTCGGCGATGCATTGGAGACGTCCGCGTGGAGAGAACCGGGTTCCACATCGAGCCGCATCTGCGATGGATCGGTGGTGCGGCGCATCGGCGATGCGGCGCAATCTTCCAGCCCCATCTACTTCGACCCCACTTGTAATCCCTGGCGGCCGCTCGGGACGAGCCGGGCACCCCTGGAACGCCACTCTGCGAGGCGCCGCTGCTGGGAAGCACCACGAGGCTGGAAAACCTCTTGGCATTTAGGCAGCCGTCCGAAAACTTCGAACCTCAAGCCATTGGCACCTCGCGGCCCTCGGTCGGGACCCATCTGCTCGAACACCATCTGGCAGGCCCGGAATTTCGCTTCTCCTCCGCGCCTTCGCGAAGCTGCCTTCGCCTAGCGCCCCGATGATGAGAAAATCGTCCCTTCTGCCGCGCCGCCCCTCCTTGGGAAACCAACAAGCACTGGGAGGATGGGCGTGGGGGGTGCTAAGAGGATAGGGGGGTTGCCAGTGGACGCCACGGTTGGATATATCTGGCCAACTGGGTTGTGAATGCCCAACATTACTTATGGGGGGCGTTCGATAACTTGGGTAGAAAAAACCATATCGCCGAGATCGCTACCCTTGAGTCGGGCCTGTCCCCCTACAGGCCGATTTTCGATGAAAAATACAAATACTCAAACAATGCTCAAAAGTAGTGAACAAATACTAAAAAAATAGTCCCCCGACCATTGCTTTAAACTATATTTGAATATTCCTCCTGTAGAGAGACAGGCCCGACTTAACGCTACCCCCCTGAGCCCGTGGCGACGTGAGCCTCCCAGGAGACCCCGCAGGGCGAAAGCGCGGCAACCCAGGTGCACTGGCCCTGTCTCTCCCTTGGGCGGACCGCAGGCAGCATCCATGAAACGCCGCAGTGGAGGAGTCATCAGCGTGCTGCTGTGGAAGACGCACCAGGCCTTCGGACAAAAGCCCAAAGAACAACACGCTGACGGGCGCCCAACGGCGGCCTGACATCGGTCCGGCAGGTTCGTGTCGTGCCGACTTCGGCGTTGGTTTCTGACATCGCGGGGATCGCTCAACTTTGAACGTCTGATCGTTCCACATCGACCGATTCTGGGTCGCCCGCGACGCTCAACGATGAACGCCGGCGGCGGGGCCGCCGCCAGTCGACGCGACGCGAACCTGCCGTACCCCTCCTCCCTCCCGATCCCTGGCCCGCCCCCGTCCCTCGCCGCACCCGGAAATCGCTGGCGCATGCCGTCGCCCTCGCCGTCGCCGTCGCCGTGCCCCGTGGGCCTCGTCGTCGTTCTCCTCGTCGTCGTCGTCGTCGTCCTCGTCGTCGTCGTCGTCGTCGCCGTCGTCGTGGTGGTCGTGGGCGACGTTGTCGTCGTGATCGTCGTCGTCGTCGTCGTCGCGTCGTCGTCGTGGGCGGCCTTCATCGTCGTCGTTCCTTTCGTCGTCGTCGTCGTCGTCGTCGCTGCCGTGCCCAGCCTCCGGAAAACCCCAAAGGGCAACGGCACGGGTGTTTTTTTTCCTCCCCAGCTCTCCGGCGTGGCCGGACCGGCGCGGGCGGGCGCCGCGGCCGCGGTGGAGGCCGAAGAGCCTCCGCCGGGATCTGCGCGGGGGTTGCCAAGGGGATGCACGCCAGTCGGAAGAAGCAGGAGGTGGAAACGTGACGCAGGATGTGGCGGACGAGGCCCAGACCGGCGAAGACGAGACAAGAGGGCAGCGACATCGGCTCCTTTTCTTTGAAGGGGCCCTGGGACACGCAAATAAATACACACAAATAAAAGGATCCCCCATATTTTCCCATATTTTCTGGGTTTTTGTCTTCTCCCCCACTTCCCATATTTTCCAATATTTTCCTGGGAGTCGACGCTTGATTGTGTCTGTGTGTTTTTTTCCCTCCTGATTCTTCTCCTAGGATATCTTTGGCGCACGGCGCGGGGGGGTCTGGATCCGTGGCCGACCCGGCGTGCACACAGCGAGCCTCTCTGGCACTGGGGCGAGCACGCTGTCGTGAAAGGGTTGGCTCAGGATGCGTTCCAAGAGACTTCGAGGAGTGCCTCGCGGCCCTCGTTTTGCTGCAGCCCTCTGCGGAGCACTCGGGCATCTGGGAGATCCCGGAAGCCCCTTGGCAAAATCTTGGAGCTTCTCATGGCCCGCCCGTCGGGAGAAGCAGATAGAAGCATGAAGCAGGGAGGCGGATGAGTAGATTGGGTTCGGGCCCGCCCAAATGATAACAAAAGACGGCACAGCCATGTCGGCTTGAACTAGGAAGGCGCTCGAAGCATATAGGGATCTGGATATCCCAAAAAAGCTACTTTCAACGGCTAGCGTGCAGGGGAGTATCAGGTGGATGTCAAGGCGGGTGATATTTGGCCAAACCCAGAGTGGAAGTGGGTTGCATCTGCAACAAATGGCTTTGAGGGGTGGGATAACTCCGCTAAGCCGCTTGGGGCATTTGTAATCCGTTCATAAGCCAGGGTAGGACAAATACAATCCACTTTGGCATCCTCTAATACCCAACTATCTCCTTCGCACCCCCCTCGCCAATCCCAGCACCAGGGGGGGGCGTGACAGTGAACTTCTGAGATCCGACGCTGCGGAACAATTGCAGCACCGCGAGAACTCACGACCAAAACTCCATTTTAGCGGCATGCTTCGAGCCGGATCGACCTGTGATGGTCCCGGAGCCCGAAACCAGGCGAAAGCGCTCAGTGAGAAAAAAGTGCAGCGCTCAAATCTCAATGTTTTATTTTAGAGTCATGACTAAGGCCTCCGGCGGCCGTTCGGGACGATCCAGGCACCCCAGGAACGCTCTCGGCGAGGTTCAGCTGCTGGGAAGCATCCCGAGGCTGAAAAAACGCCGAGACCCGACGAGAACGCCCGAAAACCTTGAACCTCGAGCCTCCCGGATCTCAGGGGGTGGAGCCGCGTGCTCGACGTCCCCAGACCCTTGACGTCGTCGACCCCCACAAGTTTTGCCCCATTCCCCAGGACCGGTTTCTCATCCCGAGACGCTTTCTGACACTCCCGAGGCCCGGTGAGGCCCCCCAAAGGCCGAAAATTGGGAAACACCCTCCGTTCTCAACATGCCATGGCCCACAGGGGGTCTGGGTACCGGACGCCCGCCGGGCGAGCCTCCTGCGGCCGCGCGGCTGTGCCCCTGCAGCAGGTCGCCCACGACATCGCCAACGACGACGACGACCACGACCACGACGACGACGACGACCACGACGACGACGACGACGACAACGACGACGACGACGAGGACGACGACGACGAAGGTCGCCCACGACGACGACGAGGACGAGGACGACGAGGACGAGGACGACGACGACGTCGCCCACGACGGCGGCGACGACAAGAACGACGATGACGAAGAGGGCGACGACGATGACGACGTCGCCCACGACGACGACGACGACCGAGACGACGACGACGACGAGGACGACGGCCAAGGCGACAACGACGAGTTCTTTCCCGTTGTGGGCTGTGTCCCGGGATGGGTCTATGGGCCCCCAGCCTTCGTGTGGCCGCTTGGCGGTCTGGGGGGGCCTGTGGAACTCCTTGGCTGCTCTGCTCTGGAGTGTCCTGCCCGGCTACGCTGAGGTCGAGCATGTCCCCCTATAGGGGGATTTTGGGACGAAACATGAAAAATACGCCCAAAATATTCCAAAACAGTCAAAGAATGAGCTATTGCGAAGGTCTTACTGCCGGTGCCGCCGACCCTGCATGGCGGCGACCACCACGACCACAACGACCACAACTCTCGGGGGCCTCCTGGTGTAGTTTGGGGGCCTCTCGGGAAGCTCCTGGGGGCCGCTTGGGAGCCTCGTGGGGGCCTCTTGGGGCTTCCTGGGGGTCTCTTGGGGGCGTCTTGGGGCTTCTTGGGGGGCTTTGTAGGGGCCTCTGGGCCGAGTGTTTTTTTTTGTTTTTCCCCACATCCTGAGTGGGGTTCTTGTTTTCCCAGAACACCCTCTCCTTCCCACCCACCTCCCGCTCCATCTTCCATACAGCACAATCTTATTCCTACCACACACACCATACCATACCATAGTTCCTACCACACATACCATACCATACCATACCATACCATACCATACCACACCATACGTACCATACCGTACCATACCATACCATGGCGTACCATAGCATACCATACCATATCACACCAATGCCACACCGTACCATACCATACCATACCTCCAGTACCATACCATACCATATCATACCATACCGTACCATACCATACCTACCATACCATTCCATACCACTCCATACCGAAAACCATACTACTTACATGGTTTCGTGCCCCTCCCACCCCTCCAGGGAGGCCCCGCCTGAGCGAGGAGGGTATCGGAATACCATACTATTTACATGGTTTCGTGCCCCTCCCACCCCTCCAGGGAGGCCCCGCCTGAGCGAGGAGGGTATCGGACAACCATACTATTTACATGGTTTCGTGCCCCTCCCACCCTCCAGGGAGGCCCCGCCTGAGCGAGGAGGGTATCGGAAAACCATACTATTTACATGGTTTCGTGCCCCTCCCACCCCTCCAGGGAGGCCCCGCCTGAGCGAGGAGGGTATCCGAAAACCATACTATTTACATGGTTTCGTGCCCCTCCCACCCCTCCAGGGAGGCCCCGCCTGAGCGAGGAGGGTATCGGAATACCATACTATTTACATGGTTTCGTGCCCCTCCCACCCCTCCAGGGAGGCCCCGCCTGAGCGAGGAGGGTATCGGAATACCATACTATTTACATGGTTTCGTGCCCCTCCCACCCCTCCAGGGAGGCCCCGCCTGAGCGAGGAGGGTATCGGAAACCATACTATTTACATGGTTTCGTGCCCCTCCCACCCCTCCAGGGAGGCCCCGCCTGAGCGAGGAGGGTATCGGAATACCATACTATTTACATGGTTTCGTGCCCCTCCCACCCCTCCAGGGAGGCCCCGCCTGAGCGAGGAGGGTATCGGAATACCATACTATTTACATGGTTTCGTGCCCCTCCCACCCCTCCAGGGAGGCCCCGCCTGAGCGAGGAGGGTATCGGAAAACCATACTATTTACATGGTTTCGTGCCCCTCCCACCCTTCCAGGGAGGCCCCGCCTGAGCGAGGAGGGTATCCGAAAACCATACTATTTACATGGTTTCGTGCCCCTCCCACACCTCCAGGGAGGCCCCGCCTGAGCGAGGAGGTACCATACTATTTACATGGTTTCGTGCCCCTCCCACCTCTCCAGGGAGGCCCCGCCTGAGCGAGGAGGGTATCCGAAAACCATACTATTTACATGGTTTCGTGCCCCTCCTACCCCTGCAGGGAGGCCCCGCCTGAGCGAGGAGGGTATCCGAAAACTATACTATTTACATGGTTTCGTGCCCTTCCCACCTCCCCAGGGAGGCCCCGCCTCTCCAGCTTCTCCTTCGTGTTGATGTTGTCGTACCCCATGGGTCCCACGAGACCATGAAATGTCTTTATGTGGGGAACTCCGTTAGCATAATTTTTTGTTTGTCTGTTTGTTTTTGACTATTTTTTGAATCTCCCTCCTGCTAAGGGACAGGCCCGACTTGAGGCTGCACTCCTCTCTCAAGGCAGCTGGCGGGTTCCCCTACAGGCGGATTTTGGACGACGTCCCCAGAGTATTTTTTGACTATTTTAGAATACTCCTCCTGTAGAGGGACAAGCCCGATTTAACAATGGGCACGGGCAACATGGCTCGGGCGGATCACTCTGCCCGAGACCCGTGTGCCAGGCGGCACTGGGAACGCATTCGCCGAGACCTCGGTCTGGACTGGCAGTGGACTGGGAGGTCAGCCACGCGGCGACCTCCCGGCGGCTCTCCCCCACGGCTCTCAAAGCAGCGGCCGCGGACGAGGACGACGACGACGACGGGCGAGCCTCCAGCAGCCGCGCGGCTGTGCCGCTGCAGCAGGTCGCCCAGTGCGCGCCGGGCGTCGGTGCTCAGGGTGGCGTCGGTGGCGACGATGGCGAGGCCCGCGTCCGCCCAGGCCCTGGCCAGCGCTGCCGTCGTCGTGGTCATCGTCGTGGTGGTCGTCGTCGTGGTCGTGGTCGTGGTCGTGGTCGTCGTCGTCTTCGTCGTCGTCGTGGTCGTCGTCGTCGTGGTCGTCGTCGTCGTGGTCGTCGTCGTGGTGGTCGTGGTCGTGGTCGTCGTGTTGGTCGTCGTCGTCGTCGTGGTCGTCGTGGTCGTCATGGTGGTGGTGGTGGTGGTGGTCGTCGTCGTCGTCGGAGGAGGAAGAGGGCGGGGCGCACTGGGCTGAGAGACATCGGGCGCTGCTGGAAGTGGTCCTGGCCCAAGTTGCTCCCAACTTCTCGTGCCATTCATTGGCCCCTCGGGCCCTCTAGGTTCATGTTGCTCCCATCGCACGTAAGGACCACATCCCAGACATAATTTCGAGCACCTGGAAAAGTGTCGAACAGTGTCGAAACAATGTCGAAACAGTGTCGAAGGAGTGTCTCCCAAGGCCAGGCACGTGAAAGCCGTCAAGTTTCGGTACTTTCTTGGTGCTCGAAATTCTTGCTGGTGATCAAAGCTAAAATAGGTTGGAGCATCATCACTCTAGGTCTGGTGGGGGGTGTGCTGGAAGCCACCTGCGCCGCCTGGGAAACCTGGTGCCGCCTTGGGCCAGGGCCGCTTGCAGTGTCCGCCCATGCCCTATGCAGAAGTGGGCACAACCCCGATCTCCGACTGTACGATTTCTGGTGTTCCTCAATGTCAGAGGTTCTCGCTGGCTCCTGGAAGTTTTCTCGCATCGGGATGCTTCCCAACAGCTGCGCCTCGCCGAAAGCTGGGGTGCCTTCATCGTCCCAAACGGCCGCCGTAGACGCGCACTGTGATCCGAAAACCGTGTATGCGACGATCTTCATCAACTCGGTTTGCCTACTGGAGTCCTGGCTTAATCCGTAAAGAACTTGTCCACTGATTACCACTCTCTATTTTGGCTCTACAATCGTCAAACTATCCGCATGGCTTCCTCTTTATCCACATGGTTTCCTCTGCTATCCGCATGGCTTCCTCTACCATTCCAATGGTTATCTGTGGCTATTCCAATGGGGTCCCAACACCCAGCAAACTCAGAAGTAGAGTAGAGTAGAGTGAAGGCGAGCCGACCAGTGTAGATGAGTAGAGTCGAGCAGATCATAATATCATTGAGTGGAGTAGGAGTAGGTGCTGTAGGAGTGTAGTAGAATAGAATAACGTATGTTCGGGCATAATAGGGTGGAGCAGAGTCGGGTACACGCCAGCGTAGAGTCGGGCATACCAGAGTAGAGTAGAGCAGAGCGGGGTAGAATGAGCAGAGCAGAGCAGATCCGAGCAATTACCACCGTCTCCAGCCAGTCCAGCCCACCCCCGTCCAACCCTCTCCACCGATCTCTGCTTCAGCCCGCCTCATCTCAAGCTTTTCTGATCTATTTTGTTGTTGATGGCGACAGGTTTCTTAACCCCTTACTACCGAAACAAGGTAGCAAATGGTTAAGAAGATGCCACCTTGGAGCCGCCTCGTGGCAGCTCCGGGGGGGGGGGACCAACTTTGAAAAGCCAAGCAGAGCGACCAGCAGCCCAAGAGGAGACTGCTGGCCGCCGCACTGGTCCTGGCCCCCGTCTGTGGAGTCTGATCTGCTCGAGTCTGCGCCGCTGCTCTGATCTCATCTAAAGCTCAAGCTTGGACGATCTCGCTGAGGCCCCGCCTCATCTCAAGCTTTTCTGGTCTGCTTGGGAGGAGGAGGAGGAGGAGGAGGAGGAGGAGGAGGAGCAGGAGGAGGAGGTGAGGAGGAGGGAGGAGGAGGAGGAGGAGGAGAGGAGGAGGAGTAGTAGGAGCAGGAGGAGCAGGAGGAGCAGGAGGAGGGAGGAGGAGGAGGAGGAGGAGGAGGAGAGGAGGAGGAGGAGGAGGAGGGGAGGGAGGGGAGGGAGGAGGAGGAGGAGGAGGAGGACGAGTCGAGGAGGAGGAGGAGGAGGAGGAGTAGGAGGAGGAGGAGGAGGAGAAGGAGGAGGGGAGGAGGAGGAGGAGGACAGGAGGGAGTAGGGGAGGAGAGAGGGGAGGAGGAGGAGAGAGGAGGAGAGGAGGAGGAGGAGGAGAGAGAGGAGGAGGAAGGAGGGAGGAGAGGAGGAGGGGGGAGGAGGAGGAGGAGGAGGAGGAGGAGGATGAGAGGAGAGGAGGGAGGAGGGGAGGAGAGGAGGAGGAGAGGAGGGGAGGGAGGAGAGGAGGAGGAGGAGGAGAGAGCGAGGAGGAGGAGGACGGAGGAGGACGCCACGAGCGGGAGTGCGCTCGGCGGCCTGCTAAGAAAAGGAGGAGGAGGAGGAGGAGGAAGGAGGAGGAGGAGGAGGAGGGAGGAGGCGGATACGGAGCGACGGTGTGCGCTCGGCGGCCTGGCTAAGAAAAGGAGAGGAGGAGGAGGAGGAGAGGAGGAGGAGGACGGAGGAGGGGAGGAGGAAGGGAGGAGGAGGAGGAGGAGGGAGGAGGAGAGGAGAGGAGGAGGAGGAGGAAGAGGAGGAGGAGGAGAGGAGGAGGAGAGAGGAGGAGGAGGAGGAGGAGGAGGACGCCACGAGCGGGAGTGCGCTCGGCGGCCTGGCTAAGAAAAGGAGGAGGAGGAGGAGGAGGAGGAGGAGGAGGAGGAGGAGGACGCCACGAGCGGGAGTGCGCTCGGCGGCCTGGCTAAGAAAAGGAGGAGGAGGAGGAGGAGGAGGAGGGGGAGATTGTTTCCTCTATTGTTGCTGGCCCTGAGGCCCGAGAGCGGGCCCCGGAGGGAGACGTCGAGGGGACGCGCCCAGACTGACAGAAGCACAGGCTCGGGAGTCTCCCAGCCATCCGAGAAATTTTCAGAGCCTTCCTCGAAGGCCCCAAACAACATCTCAGAAGGCGCGAGGGCTTCTGAGAAGTCCCGCCGCCGAGTGTTTAGAGGCCTCCCAGATGGGGTCCGAGTGGATGGGGTCGGAGGATCGCGAAGCATCGCCGATGCATCGGCAATGCATCGACGATGCACCAGCGATGCATCGGCGACGTCGGCGGTGAATCGGCGACGCCAGCGCGGAGGAAATCGAGCTCCGCATCGAGCCGCATCGCCGATGCATCGGCGATGCACCGCGATCCTCCGACCCCATCTGCTCTGACACCGTCTGGGATGCCTAGAGACTAGAGTTAGGTCGGGCATGTCCTCCTGCAGGAGGATTTTGGAAGACAAACAAAAATAGGCAAGGAATGCTCAACAATAATTCGAAATAGTCAGAAATCGTCCCCCACTTAACATTTGGTTGACTATCCCTCCTGTAGAGAGAAGGACATGCCCGACGTAAGCCCAGAGTTAGACATGCCATGGTTCGCTAGGGACTGGCTTCCTTCCGAGTCAGCCGAAACCCTCCCGAAACCCTCTTGGAAGGGTTCTGAGACGCTTTTCGGATGGGTTCGTGAGGGTTTTGGAAGGCTTTTCGCTGTTGTGGGTTAGCCAGTCCCTAGCGAACCAAGGCTTTCTAAGCCCAGAATGTTCTCTTCGTCGGCCCGGTCCCCTCCTAGATGGGGTCGGAGTAGATGTGGTCGGAAGATCGCGCTGCATCGCCGATACATCGGCGATACATCGGCGATGCATCGGCGATGTCCCGGCGATGCATCGACGACGTCACCGATGCCTCGGCGACGTCGGTGTGGGGGGAAACAGGGCTCCACATCGAGCCACATCGTCGATGCGTCGGCGATGCGGCGCGATCCTCCGACCCCATCTACGTCGGACCCCATTTAGGAGCCCTAGATTCTCTTCGTCGGCCTGGCCCGAGGAGGAGGAGGAGGAGGAGGAGAGGAGGAGGAGGAGGAGGAGGTAGGGAGAGGGAGGAGGAGGAGGAAGGGGGGGGAGGAGAGGGAGGAGGGAGGGGGAGAGGAGGAGGGAGGGAGGAGGGAGGAGGGAGGAGGGAGGGAGGAGGGAGGGAGGGAGGAGGGAGGGAGGAGGGAGGGAGGGAGGGAGGGAGGGAGGGAGGGAGGAGGGAGGGAGGAGGGGGGAGGAGGAGGAGGAGGGGAGGAGAGGAGGAGGGAGGAGGAGGAGGAGGAGGAGGGGAGGAGGGGAGGGAGAGGGGGAGGAGGAGGGAGGAGGAGAGGAGGAGGAGGAGGAGGAGGACGAAGAGCAGGAGGAGAGGGAGGGACGGAGGGAGGGGGGGATTTTTTGGATTGCCTGCTCGTTGAGGCAGCTAGCCTGTCGAGTTACGGTGGCGCTGCGGCTAGCGATGCAACTGAAATAGTGCGATCGCATGGGCACATAAGGTTTGCAGTATACAGTACCAGTACACCAAACCCACCTCACCTTAAACCTCCCACATGCACGCACTATCCCCCGCCCTTCAGCTGGGCAACTGGACGGCAAACGCGAAAAACTGCGACATCGGCTTGCTGTGCCCGTCCAGGGCATTCGGGCGGAGGGGCGGAGGGAGGGAGGAGGAATTAATTACGTAAAGCGGGAAGGAGGAAGGCTGGGACGCAGACCACATTCCCTGCTCGAGGTTGCCGACGAATGGCAACGACTCAGCTTGGCATCTATGAGGCATGGCGGTACCGCATTGGGAACACCATGTGGAACCTCTATGCGGATACAGGTGGCCGTCAAAGAGGCCGCCGGCCGAGGAGGAAGATCCATCGCACGGCACTCGCAGGAGGAATCTTCGCACCTACGATCCATCCTGAACCCCCACCCTCAACAATATGCAGCGTGGCCGGCAAACGCTAAAGGGGCTTGCAGCAATGGCCTGGGCACTGTGGAGTAGGGGCAGGAGGAGGAGGAATAGAGCTAAAGAGGAAGACGAGGAGTGGGTAAGGCTGGAACGCAGATCTGGGCCCTAATCCCTCTTCTTTCTCGCTCGCCGGTCCTCCTCTGCAAGACACACCGGCTCTGCGATCGAGCAGTGCTCGCGAGAGTGTACGGGCCGCGCCGAGAGACGCCTCCATCCCGATCCCCCCCCACCTCTGACAAGTAATTCTGCCCGCCAGTCCGACCCGTATGCACGAGGCGCGCCGCGGTCTAA